TCTACAGACTCCAGCATTGTCACCTCAATGGGTTTTTCCCCCCTGTTAATTAATAGGGTGAAATGCATCTTTGGATGGCTCGCCTGTGTGCCACCATTAGGTTTCCACGTCTTGAGGCTGAGCCTCTGTGTTTGGGGGGGGGGGTAGAACGAATAGGTGACAGGTAGGAAGAGCCTGGCTAGTGTTTTTCACTGTTTCACTTCCTTCCCAAGAAGATGGTAAGGAGTGTGTGTGTGTGTGTGTGTGTGTGTGTGTGTGGAGAGAGGGCAAAGAGAGAGACAGAGGAATCCAGGAACTCAGTGGTGCTCAGCCATATTGCCTGGGAAAAAGTCAAGCTTGGGCTGAACACTGTAATCCTGAAGTAAGGAGGTCAGGTCTGGATGGCGCCATACTGGCCTCTGGTCTGCATGCTGGGGGAAGGAACCGCCCCACCCATCACCTGCCTCCCACCTGATGGGCGTGTCTGGATCCCTGGAGGCAGGCACTTGTCTGATAGGTTACTGAATCTGTCAGTCCAGTGCCTGGGACTGGGAGTTTCCTGTGGCCCTCCCCCTGGGCAGACCTATTTAGGCCCAGACCAGCACAAGAGCCATGACACCATGCCACGTGTGTCTCCATGATTGTGTCCGGTGTCTTGGCTCCTGGATCATCTCCAGTTATCCTGGCGTCCCAGTTCAGCTCTCCATTGGAGCTGAATTGGCTTGTTGGTATTGTTTCTGTTCTTTCCTCTTTAGTCTGTTTCCAAGCTGTGTTCTGTGCATTTGGGTGCTGCAGGCCTTTGTAACAGTGGGCTGCCTGCTGCCTGCTAACTGTGTAATAAAGACTCTGTCTTCAGTGACTAATTTAGGATCCCCAGTGTGAGGAAGCCTACCTGGGCCTGGCCTCCCTTCCAGCCCCTCTTCCCTTCCTTTCTGTCATTGTTGATGGAACACAGCTTCTGAGTGCCTCTTGGCATGGTGGTTTCTTCATTGTGCATAGCATGGTATCCACAGGAGCCCTTTCTGGGATTACAGGCATGCTCAATCACACATTCTGCTGCTTCTGAAATTTCTAATGAAGCTATTTGTCTCTCTGGGGGTAGGGGTAGGAGTGGGGGTGGGAAACTAAACTAAAAAGGAGCTCTGTTGGATCTTGAGTTTATCTGTTGATTTCTATGGGACCTATAAAGTTTCTTCTCTTTTTTTTTTAGTTGTGAAAATACTGGACAGAGACATGCTTCTCTAACTTTTCTAAAGCTGTATTTGATTTTCGAATTCTTCTGCCGTCAAACATTGAAAGGTGGAAACATGGCTGGTATTTTAGCTGCCAGCAGATTTCTTACTTTCTTTCATTCATTCATCCATTCATTCATTCATTCATTTATTTCTAAGTTGTCCATGACTTTAAAATATAGGCTTTTGGACCCTCCCTTATCTAGAAAGGAATATAGATTATGACTTCACTGAAAAACTGAGGGTAACACCTCAGTGAGTTTTGAAAAGTATCGGGCTTCCTTAGAGATTACATGAGTACCCATTCATTCATTCATTAAAAGTTATCATTCAGATGTACTGCTTCCTCTTGTTTAGCACCTTTACTGTGCTGGAAGTTTCTGAGCTGGTCAGGCTCAGTTTCAAGCAAGCTCTGGACAGCCTACAGGCCCTCTTCCCAGGCCCTCTGACACAGGAAGGCATGTGGCATGAGCCACTGCGTCCCTCCCAACTCTTCCCACTCCACCCCTGTCCTCCCTAAAAGTACAAATTGGGCCTGCATTCCCTCGGGGTAGCTGGAGACACTTTCAGCTTGGGGAATTCAGCATAAGTTTGGCGCTGGAATGGATGTTAACACCATCTCACATTTGCTGGCTGCTTAGAGGAAAAACGACAGAGCAGAAGTGTTTGCAAGAAATTAGTGAAATTAATTTTAGTTCCAACCTCCACATCCACATTTTCTTCTTCCTGGTGGTACTCTCTGAAGGTCAGGATTAATAGTCAAGGTAATGATGGTACTATTACAGTAGTAATTACTAACATATATTAGGCAAGTACTGTGTGTTGATTATTATACTCAGGAGCATCGGCATGTGCTTGGTTAATTCTCACAAGAGTGACCATGGAGACTTCTCTTTGTGCCAGTCCTGGGGCTTGAACTCAGGGCCGGAGTGCTGTTCTTTAGCTTTGCTTGCTCAAGGTTAGCACTCTGTTATTTGAGCCACAGCTCCAGTTCCAGGTTTTTGTTTTTTTTTTCTGGTTAATTGGAGATAGCAGTCTCATGGACTTTCCTGCCCTGGCTGGTTTTGAACCACAGTCCACAGATCTCAACCTCCTGAGTAGCTAGGGTCACAGGTATGACAGTGTCTGGCTCCAGATGGACATTGTTCCAGTAGTAGAAGTACACAGGATTCAAATGCAAGGCTATGGACACCCAGGGCCTATGTGGGTCCTTCCAGTATCAACCAGTGTTCTTTATAGACTTAGCAAGCACTACCACCTTCTCACCTTCATGCTAAACATATCTTGTGCTCAACAGCACAACAATCTCCCCAGCTTTAACTTGATTTTTTTTTCTTGTCAGTGTGTGGCTTGAACTCAGGACCTAGGTGCTGTACCTGAGCTCTTTTGCTCAAGGCTAGTGCTTTGAGCCACAGCTCCACTTCTGTTTTTCTGGTGGTTCATTGGAGATAAAGTCTCACAGACTTTCCTGTCCAGGGCTGGCTTTGAACTGTGATCTTCAGATCTCAGACTCCTGAGTAGCTAGGATTACAGGCGTGAGCCACTAGTGCTTGACTAACCTGACTCTGTACACGGACACTAGAAAGCTGGATGGTCTCTAAACACTCTCAGCTCTCAGCTGGAGTGAGGATGGAGGGGCGGGGCCCTCACGTCACTTGTGATATCCTTCCTATCTTCTTTATCAATGGCTGGCTGACAGGGCAAAGACACCCCATTATAACTGGCAGGACCTCTGCTTCCCTCTCCACCCCACCCCACTGGCATTTGGGAGGTCTCTTTTTCTTGGGGTGTTCTAGGGTACACTCATCTGCCACCCTTTGGAGGAGCTCCTGGCAGTGTTGGTGCCTTAGGCTGGTTTCTTTTTAAGCCTCCTGTTTACTACGGTACTAAGGCAAATTTCCTCCAGTTGCTTCAAAGCCTGCTCTGTCAGTGATAAATGTTTCCCACTGAGCTTTCTGGGCTTGCGTTTTTGCCCAAGGCCTTTTCCCTCAGCCTCATCCCTGATCAGCCCACGGAGAGCCAAGAAGGCACAGCCAAGGTTCCCCTCACTAACTCAGGGCTGATCAGGGAGCTGCGATTTGAACCTCACTAGAAGCTCATTCTGGTCAGAGGTCAAGGGTGCGAAATCTATCGGACACTCCAGGAACAAATACACTTCCTTCAGATGCTTAGAAAACAAACCTTTGAAGTCAATAATAAAAACAGCTTGTGGTGTACACATCACCCATTATATTCCCTCTGCTTCATTATAGAAGGAAATGTGTGTGTGTGTGTGTGTGTGGTGTATGTATGCCAGTCAGGTCTTGAATTCAGGCGTTTGCTCAAGGCTAGCACTTTACTACTTGAGCCACACCTCTACTTCCTGGACTTTTGGTGATTAATTGGAGATGAGCATTTCACAGACTTTCCTACCTCGGCTGCCTTGAAACAATGATCCTCAGACTTCAGCCTCCTCAGTAGCTGGGATTCCAGGCAGAGCCATCAGAACCTGGCTGGCTTCATATTTGAATTTTACTATACTTTTCCAGCTAACTCTTTGTTTTATTCTTATATAGAAGCTGACCTTGGACATAAAACTGGGAAAGAAAGTTATTTTGTTCTTTCTTTAGTGACTATGAAGTAAATCACTTCAGGTTGAGATTTTGATCTGATTATTTTCCTCTCCTTAAGGGGCCATTCTGAGAATTTACAGTGACTGGAAGCTTTCTAACATAGAAACCAAAATAAGTACTAGGAAACAGGTACTTGCAAGGGTCAGGGGTCAAGAGCAGAGGGGTAGAAGCATGAACAGGGACAATGAATAGAATGCAGACAAGCATGCATTGTCTGCCACAGAACCGAGGAAAGTAAGGACAGGGGTGGGGGGAAGAGGGGTGGAGATGTGGAAGGGATGACACAGATCAAGATGCACTGTACACATACATTACTTTTGTAAATGGCAAAAAATTCAATGTAGAACCTAAAAATTAAGCAAAGCGAAGGAAGGGGTGGGGGAAGGGGGGGAGAATGATGAAAGGGGTGACTTTGATTAAGAGGCAGTGTGTTCACAAACTGCTCTGTTGAAAAGGCAACTCCTACGAACAACTACTTAAAGAAAACAAAGATACATTTAAAAAAGCAAAACTATCAGATTGTTTTAGGTCACTAACTGAGAAAGTACTGTTGACTTCTAGCTTAATGTAAATTAGCTTAGCCTGGAGCTACAACGTAAAAGGAAGTTGTAATGGAATGAAAGCTTTCTTCTCTCTCTCTCTCTCTTTCTCTCTGTCAGTCTGTCTGTCTCTGTCTGTCTGTCTGTCTGTCTGTCTCTCTCTGTCTCTTTCTCTCTTATTGTTGTTGGTCATGAAGCTTGAACTCAGGGCTTGGGCCAAGGCTCCTGAACTCTCTTGCTCAAGGCTAATGCTCTACCATTTTGAGCCACAGAACCATTTCTGGTTCTCTAGTGGTCAATGGAAGATGAGAGACTCTGGTAGCTTATTGGAGATGAGAATCTCATGGACCTTTCCTGTCTGGGCTGGCTTTGCAGTGTGATCTTCAGATCTCAGCCTCCTGAGTAGCTAGGATTACAGGCATGAGCCACCAGGTGCTGCTTACTCTACCTTTTGATGTAGAAAAACATTAACCAGCTGCTTCCTTCCTAATGGGGGGGTTGCTCCCCAAAAGTTGTTTTTATCAAGTGTGATTTTAATTATACTTTTGTGGCTTGAGAGTTACCCAGCCTGCTCAAAATCAAAACAAAGGGAACCCCCCCTCCCCTCAAATGACCCCCAGGCGCTCTGCTGGGTTTACCTGGTTCAATGTTGAGAGAGTTGCTGTCGATTTCCAGGTCCAGTTCAGCTGCCGAGGACCGAAAATCCTCCAAGACCCCGTGCACAGCCTGGGTGAGGTTGTAGGGCACCCAGCGAGCAAAGTGCACCTTGCTGTTCACGATCACACTCCCATTGCGGAAGCTGAGTATTTCCAGCTGCCTGAATCCAGTGAGATTGGACTGCAGATATGGGACCAGCTGCAAACAAGAGAGCGGTTACCCAGTTACTGTGCTCTAAGTGCTCAGGGCCACGGATTCCACTTCTCCTCACTTCCTACTATTCAAGACATCTATCTCAATTCTTTTTTTAAAATTTTTATTTCTATTGTTCTTATAGTGTTATGCTGGTACTGGGGTTTGAACTCAGGACTTGGGTGCTTTCTCTTAGTTTTTTCACTCTACTACTTTTTGGTGATTAATTGGAGATGAGAGTCTCATGAAGACTTTCTTGTTCAGGCTGGCTTCAAACCTCCATCATCAGAGCTCAGTCTCCTGGGTAGCTGTGATTAAAGGTGTGAACCATGAGTTCCTTGCTCTTACTTTTATTTTTAGATTTCATGGGAGCCCAGAGCACTGCTACTTAGTGCCTATTCGCAATAATAATGGCGGAGTTTCTACCTTGTTATCAGTCCATTGAGATGGATGACCAGATACTTCCTTATGAGGATTTGTAAGAACAGATGATTTTCTTTTTAAACCCAAGCCAATGAAATTGGCAAGAAATGCTAGGTTTAGTCATTGTGTGTGTGTGTATGTGTGTACATGGGCACACACACGCACACATGTGCACTGGAACTGGGACTCGTGCTTGGCTTTTTCTGCTCAAGGCTGGCCCTCTATTGGAGATGAGTCTCACTGATTTTGCTGCCTGGGCTGGCATAGAACCATGATCCTAAGATCTGAACTTCCTGAGTATTAGAATTACAGATATGAGCCATTGGTGCCAGGCTACATTTAGTAATTTTGTTTTTTTTTAAAAAGTAAACAAAATATGTTCCAACCTGAGTCTAGGAGCAGACTGACCTAGGCTTGTATAAATAAATGGGAGTCTATGTAAGTGACCAGGCCTATCAGATAAACAAGCTCTTACACATCAGCGTGTCAGTCTAGGCAGGCAATGAATGGGTCCTGGGCCAACTTGGCTGGAAGTAGCTTCCTGGCCTTCATCCCCCTGGGGGACCATTGCGATGTAGCTCCACCCCCTTATCTGCAGTGTGTGTAGGGGAGAAAGTGGTTCTCAGAGGCTTCTCTCTAAACTGGAACTTAATGGCTCGAAGGACCCTTAGGGCGTTGTTCTGTGGCTGTCTCTACAGAGCCTCTGATCATCTCCAAGGTCATTCCCCAGAAATGTTTGAATCCTAAGTGGTTTCTGCCTCATCCCCCATAGCCAAAAGCAGAGAGGAAAGGCAAAGAAATCGAACCGGGATGACGGGGTCACACATGCGCTGCGAAATAAATATGGCAATTCAACTTGGGGACTCAGGCAGAGCCCCGCAGCCATCGCCAACGGTAGGAATTTCTCATAGGCGATCTCAGCAAAGTCCCAAACCCTTGCCGTCTCCGGAGAGGGTGCGTCCTGGGTACTCAGCTGGTCTTGGCGGCCTTGAATTCAAGGAAAGCAAGAGGAAGGCCTGGTACCCGGGCCTCCATTTTGTGTTTGTCCTGGTTCTACGCTGTTCATAGGATCACTTTACAGTTAATCACCGTGGGTTCCAGGAAAGACAGGATGGATCAGTAGTATCGTTATGACCAAGGACTGCTCTTTGCAGGCCAGATTAACCCCCACAGGGGACAATTACCAATAATGAGCAGCCGCACCTGGAGTCAGAGAAATCATCTCATGAGAACCAGATAGCGACCTTCAAATGCCCCCTGCGACCCCTTTCTCTGCCACCAGGCCACACTGCCAGCTTGGACTCCTGAATCAAGCAAACCGGGCCTTCTTTGAGTGCTCCTGTCTATACCCCAAAGAGGGCTGAAGAGGATCCAAAGTGCCATTTTCCTGGGGCCTCATGGTCCTGTCCTCCTCCTCTCCCCGCCTATTTCTTGCCTATCCCTTTCACCAAGTCGCAACTTGCTTCAGTTTTTCTGTTGGACTCAAGGATGGAAGTTGATGAGGTTTGCTGGCTGCCCAATAACACATCTGGCCCAAAGATGAACCCACAAACTCCACACCCAGGGACCCCCAAGCACAGACAGGCAAGCTGAGAGCTGGCCCCCTGCCTTTTTACCCCCCTCCTCTCTTCCTCTCCAAGGCGGATTCCCTTAACCTGCATTGTACAAGACGTTGAGTATCCCACGAGTATCCACGCCACAGACAGACAGTGGGAAGGGAGTCAGAGGAGACCCACGCCACGCCACAGACAGACAGACAGACACAGACTGACAGCAGGAGGGGAGTCAGAGGAGACCCACGCCACGCCACACCACAGACAGTGGGAGGGGAGTCAGAGGAGACCCACGCCACACCACAGACAGACAGACAGAGGGAGCGGAGTCAGAGGAGACCCACGCCATGCCACAAACAGACAGACAGTGGGAGGGGAGTCAGGGGAGACCCATGCCATGCCACAGACAGACAGACAGACACAGACTGACAGACAGCGGGAGGGGAGTCAGAGGAGACCCACGCCACGCGACAGACAGACAGACAGACAGATAGACAGGCAGACAGACGCACAGCGGGAGGGGAGTCAGGAGACGCATGTGCACACACCAGCTGCGTGAAGCGCCGCTCCAGCGCGCGGTACTCGGGTGAGCTCCTGTCGGCCAGGTCCGGGGAGAAGGGCAGGTTGGCCACGCGCAGGCTGAAGAACACCACGAGCTCTGCGCCCCGGCCCGGGCCTGCGGTGCCGGGGCCCG